AGGAGAGGAAATGCCCATGGAAACAACTGGTTGGAGAATGGGCAGGGGAGGGAGGAAGTTGCTGGGTGGGTTTTGCTTGATAGACCCTTGGGCACAGGGGCTCTTCTCTGCTGCCCCTCCTGGAGCTGTGTTGGCCCCTGTTACCGGGTTTCTTTTTGTCATGTGCTACATGCCCCTGTGATCCCCTTGAGAATATGTGGAATATGCTCCCTTTTCTCTTTGTGCGCGCCCCCCCCCTCCCTTCAAGCTGCATCCCCTTGGATGGGGGTCAAGAATGTGCAGCAGTGAGCAGCAGCTGTGACTCGGCATGCTTGCCCAACAAAATTTCCCGTCTTCTTTTCTACCCATTGCCCTCACTCTCCATTTCACCTTGTTGCCCAGTTGAATGACAGGCTTTCTGTACCACCAAGTGCTCCCAATCTATGGTCACATTTTAGTATGATAAAGGGAACAATGAAACAACTAAAAGTAGATAACCTGGGCCTCCCATTCATATATGTCAAACAATGCCACATGCACAGCATGGTATAACAGGCTTTTCCCCCTTCTTAAAACACCTGTTATTTTAAAGGATCAACTTACTCTTAATACTCTGTTCCATCTGCCAACTGGTGTTGAGCTTTTCAAAGCAGGAAGGCCCACTTTGATATTGAATAAACCTGCAGCATCATGTTGTTACAATGTTCTTTTAATAACATTTTGTCACAGCCTGACACACTTAGTTAAGCATTGTGATGCTCAGGTGCAAGACTTGTGCTTATACTGCTTTGAATTTTGGGCATGAATTTCTGTTTAACTTTTCACTATCCTATTTGCCATACTTAGATAACATCTTTTTATTTAAATGAACAAACTGATTTATCCTGTTGTGCTCTAGATGATCATTATCTCAGAAGCTGGATATTTCTTTAATGAAAGTGAGTACTGGCTTGTGCATTTTTAAAAAAACAACAAATGATATGGTAGCACTTTATAGACTAGCAAAACATGTAGATGGTGGTATTAGATTTCGTGAGGTGGTGATTTGGAAATCTCCACCGTAATGTTGAATTAGCTTAGATGGTTTTTGTGTTTAATATAGACATCAACATACGTCAGAATGTTATGCATATAAGATCTGATATTTACAGTAAACTTCATAGCTAACATTTCATGCTTCTCTCCATAGAATGGCAGCAGTATCTTCTAATGGCTTGATGTCTGCATGTTATGGTGATTGCTTTTACAAAAAAACATAATGACGACGTCTTAATGACAGACGCATGATTACAAGAGAGCAACAAGACTGGTCATATTTTTTTAAGCTCAGAAAACAGCACTGACAATGCGCAGAAAATCTAGACAAATTATAAATACTGTTGCTGATGTCAAAGAAAATTTGAAAGGACTTATTGAAGAAGAGAAGGTTTATTCTCTGCCCATTCCAAAAGACAAGTTTGTCAAAATGGATGAATCAAAAAGCTCATACCTTTCAGAAATTGAAAATTTAAATGACCTGAGATCTACACATGTATTTAAACCTGGAGTAAAATGCAACGAATACATAAGGAGAAAATCATATCAGAACAGCAAGGATGATAGTAAACTGGCAGTAAACAAAAGCCTTTCTTTTAAACTAAAGGGAAACTTACTTCAACCTTCCTTGTCCTTTTTGACAGCACACAAACCTCAAAGTCCTTTTTCAAAAGGCAGCCCTACATTCTTGGATGATGCAAGCTATGTGACACCTGATAAAGGTGAAGCAGATGTAAAACCAGATTGTGAAACATCAGAGAATGTAATGAAGACACCTGTTGATTTTGCAAGTGTAACTATAGCTGAATTTGGGATTACTCCAGAGTCTTTTACTGCTAAGCCATCTATAGGTAAGGGGTTAGCAAAGTGACTCTTGGAATGAATGTTTCAAAATACTGTGGTTCATTTGTGAATGAGAACATTCTCTTAAATATTTAATGGTGGTTGTGAATGGTGGTCCAGAAGATTTCAGGGCATTTGGGACAATTTCTGATAACACAGATATAGGTTTTATAAGTAGTGATTTGGAAATAGTACAGGAGATGGAAATTGTGAAGAATTGTCCAACATTCATTATAGCTGGTGTATAGAGTAATTTGCTATTAAACATGTGTTTTCTTGGGGAGAGGGGAAATACTATGACTTCCTAGAGCTCTGTTAAGCCTATTCATGGGAATAGGATCAGATGGAAGGAATTTTGAAAAGGTAACAGAGCTTTCTTCCTCCTACATTCTTTTATAGCCAAATTTGGCTATTTCTGTCAGTGGCATAGGCTCTTCATAAGTAAAACTAAGTGTGAGATTTCACGATCAGTAGGTAGACAGGGTTTCTTCCTGATGTCCAAATGACAGTAAATTTACACCTTGATAATTACACCATGATTGTTTCACAGCAATACTTTTTATGTATATTGTAGTGATGTTTACATCATCATTTTCTACTGTTCCTGTTTAAGGGCACAAAAGAGAGCAAAGGAGGATGTTAAATAGGTTGCTAAACATGTTTTCAAACCGATCTAGGAACTGTCAATATAGTTCTCCCATGGAAACAGTGTTAGACTTCAAATTAGGAATGTGGGTTTTTATTTTGTTTTGGCTTTTCTGATGCAAGGAAGCTGAGGGAGGGTAGTTTTGCATGGCACTATTCTCGCCCACTCACAGCCCCAAACCTGGGAATTCTAGCAGAACTTCTCATGAAAGTTTATGTTGGTCATACAGCATTAACTTTCTATCTTCTGGTTCTTGTACTGTGGAGAAGTGTTGAGTGAAGGAACATTCATGCTGTCAAGGAAGGGGATACCCAAGAGTTGATATGAAAGAGTTTTTCCTTTTGAGCTTTTTTGTTTTTACTTTCTGTAAAGACCTTTTCTTGTTTTCCCTTTCTGTATACCAGTACTGTGCCTGATTTCTGGATACACACAAAGCAAAGAAACTGTTCTATGCTTTCCGTGAGAGAGAGAGGGTGGGTGGACGCACGTGCGCACACACGACCTTCTTTCACCTCTTCCACAAAATTGTTGTGGAGTTTTCCTTCTCTAACAGTCTTTTGATTGTTCCTGTGAGTTATGTAATACACTATCAAGATTTCAAATGCTTGCAGTTTTTATTTTTTCTTCTAATGAAGACAACTGACCAAATACAAGACTTTATATAATGCCTACATTTTTTTAAATAGAAGCAATTTCCCTGGTATTTTTAAATACTTGTAAGTGTTCTCCTGAAGTTTCATTGTGCTTTTTCTTGCATTGTTCTTGTTTCAGAGAAATCCATGGCTTTAAAACTTAAGCGCAGATCTACAATTGGAGTACGGGGTTCCCCTGAAAATAATAGCCTTATTCAATATCTTGCCAAGCAAAAGATGAGGAGAACTGAAGACCCATTCAAAACGGTGGGAATTTTTTCAGAGTTGCGCAGCATGGCTAGCGGAGAAAATTAGCTTCATGTATTTGTGGTATCTGGAATGAATGGAACAGTGTTCTCTATTTTACTTTTGTAGCCAAGCTTTTTTTAGTTGAGATTTTGAATGTTAAGAAAATTACACTTAGAGCATGTTTATTCTACCATCTTAGTTAACCTATGTTTAGGGCGACTTAGTCACTAAAATAATTACTGTGGTGGCTGATCTCCATACTACCCACCTATCAGTCATGTGTGTCCTCTCAATGAGTGCTTCCACAGATTGAAGAGGAACTGTGGGGAGGGAGGGCTGAGAGCCAGAGCTCTCAACTTTCCACAGCTCCCTGCTGGAGCCCACCTATGCCCCATGCCTCATCTTCCAGCTGGGAGCAGAGGAGAAGCCACTTGGGGCTTCTGGCTCTGGTGTGAAAACTCACACCATACCCAGAGTCTTGCTGTGCTCCCAGTAGAGAGCCAAGGGTTGGGGACAGCTGGGCTTCCAACTAGGTAGGAGCTTCAATACAGTCAGGGTATGGCAGCAGCAGGTATCCTGGGCGACTGGTTGGCTTGTGGGGGGCAGCTTGGGGAGCCAGGGGCCAGGCTTTCTTGTGAATTTCATGGCTTCTGTAGAACTGAAATTGACAGACAGCAAACAGCTGATATAAAGACTGCAATATCTGTGCAGACACTGCATTGTCCATAGTACATCAACATAACTCCACCTCCATGAGAGGCTTATGTCAGGGTAGTAAGGTACTTACATTGGTGGGAACAAGGCTATCGTGTGTACACTGACATAATTGGATTGTCATAAAATGCCTTATGTTAACCTAGCAATGTAGGGTAGTCCAGGCCTAACCTGGACTGAAGGAAAGAGAAGGTAATGAAGGAAGAAAACAAAAATAGAAATAACAATGGATTTATTTGTGAAACTTAACATTTTTTTCCTACTAAGAATTGTGGGGAGCTAAAGTTGAGGCCAATTTAGTAATGCAGATGTTT